CTAATCAAAGCAAACGATGCCCAATGTGTCGTCAAGAGATTCCCCCGGATTTTCTTGAGAGACCTCAGTTGGTAGAAGTGGAGGAGCCTCAGAAGGAGTCGGAACATCCCGAAGAAGAATATCAGTGGTTTTATGAAGGTCGAAATGGTAAAATGTTAATTTAATTGAAAATTATATTTTGGTCAGCACTTAAATTCTACAATTGTGTTGTCTTTTGATGAGAAAGTCTTATAAATACTTCATTTATTATTACATTTTGTGTATAAATTTTTCTAGTTTGCAAATTCTTTTAAAGCATTTATACATGGGCGCACAAAATTTGATATCCTACCCCTTCTTAGGTTGGTGGAAATATGATCCGAGGACAAGCAATGATCTGGAGACTATTTACAAACTAGGGGACGCGCAATGCGAACTTTTGATCTGTGGCATGCTTTACGTAATTGACTTTGTAAACAAGTGTCAATATAGAAAGAACAACCCACGTTATAAACGTAATATCAAACGTGATAAAAAAGATGCTCCGTGCAAGGGTGTCTCGGGTGTACGATAATACTTACAACCATATAAAATACATAGTTTATTTGCCCGTGAAAATCCAATTTCAAGCCCGTATTTTACAGCATATCGAATTATGTTTATACGTACCGCATTGTATTATATACAATACTATATTATACACAATAAACGCACGATAGTACGCAGGATGGAAGGGGGTACTTGCTCCCCTAAAATTTGGCAAAAAGAAATAAATTATGAAAATCGTTGGCTGCTTTTAGCTGAAAAGCAACTTTACAACTATTATAAAATTCTTTAATATAATTTATTTATACATGTAGATCTAGTAAGGAACTAATAGCAAGTTCGATTGGACGCACTCAGTGCGCATTAGTATACATTAATGCTATCGTACACAAATTAATATAAAGATATGTTTATAATTAAACCTAAAGATCAATTAAATACTTAATACACTTTATTGTACTGTGTTAGGTAAAATATGTATTTTATAATTCGAAATATTTACATTTCACTTAAATTAAATCAGTGTACAACGACTTTAATATGCAGCAGTGCGCACTAGTGCGTCCATTGAATTTGTCATTGATAATTCCTTACTTACAATTAGATTCTTTAATAGTTTCACTGAAACGATTTTCTGACTAGAACTTACTACTTTTTTTCATTATTAGCACTACACCTTTTTATTATGTTGATGTTAGAAAATATCAAATTGGCCAACAATCGGAAAATTGCTTCAATGAATCAGCTATATATACTAATAAATGATGCTCGCGAAAAGAGAAACTGGAAGAAGAAATATTAAATAGGTTTACTGAAGTTTTTGAAGACTGACTTTAACATAGACATATTTTAATAAATTTTGTGTGAATATAATTTTTTATCCGCCCCCTCTCCTGACTGAAATCCTGCGTATGCCCATGCAAAGAAGCATTGCATAAGTAAAAACAATATTAGAAATGAAAATTGAATGTGTGCGGATTATGTATATATGCTAGTCTATGAAATATTTTCAGTTTATGAAATATTTTAACAATTAAAAGAATTCATTATTAATAATATGTTATACAACTAAAACGCTTAACATAAAATAAATATATTTCTTTTCAATAAAATCATATTTTACTAAAAATATTTTTCTTTTTATATTTTCCCAGCTGTAGTTTTTTTATAATATCTGTTAATTTACTTGAGTGACACGCATGATCTGTTTATTCTCTTCTTTCTTATTGTAACATGAAACAAATGGCTTTTAAGTACATTTTTACAGGTTGGTGGCAATATGATCAGCGCACAAGTATTGAATTAGAAACGGCATATAAACAGGGTAAAAGGACCTGCGAGTTGTTGATTGCAGGATTTCTTTACATTGCCGATTTTGGTTCGATGCTCCAGTTACGTAGAAATGATCCTTCTAGACGAAGGAGAATCAAAAGAGATCTGTATAATGTTCCAAGAAAAGGAGTTGCTGGATTACGACTCAATGTACAGGACGAAGAGATTGTGAGAGAAATAAGGGGTGCAGAGCGACCAGCTAGTCCTGCAAGTGATAGTATGGGTAAGATGCACTTAACGGAATAATAAAAAATGTTTTCCAATAAAATCTGCAGAGTGAAACACTATAATTTAAAGTGAGATAGTATACATACTTTTCTATCTTGTAAGATTTTGATAAAATCGCTCATGGCCAGACTCTGTTATTAAGTCTCCAATTTTTATCATGTTATACTGTCATCTGTATTTCTTGCGAAAATTACTGTATATCTTGCTTCCAAAATTGTTCATAAGATTATCTTTGATCAAATGTGAAGAATACTGTATTTACAGGTACAGGAGATGGCACAAATACTCCTATACCACCTAGTAATACGCCACAGACACCTGCAGGTGGGACAGCAAGTGGCGACGCTACGCCTCTAAACGATAGAATAGATCAGAGGTCAGATTCCTTACATCAAGTTCTAGAACAAATGCGCTCTTTAGTTTTAAGAGAGCATCTGTCCTTAAACAGCGATAACGAATTTGAAGAAGATACAGAAGACGCGTCGATTTCGGAACATCCCACTCTTTCATAGCTACAAATATCGAATTTACATTCAGAGATTGTTGCAATCTTATTTCAGAATATTCAATTCATTTCCAGACTTTTCGTATTGTTATTCAGCTCAATAAGATAGTATTATGTATATATATGTGTGTGTGGTGTGTGTATATGTGTGTGTGATATGTATGTATATACGCACGCGCACACACACACACACACATACATTATATTTGCTAGAAGTGTATCAATATTTAAATTTTATTGATCTAGCAAATTACATTGCTCAATTATGTATGGAAATTTATATACAATTAAGAATATTTCGAATTAAGTAGCTATCTTTATTCAGTAAGTACATTCTTCTCTCTTTGCTCTCACAAAATGTGTTTAATTATAATTATAATAAGACGAGAAAAATAGCAATGAAGTTGTCATTGAAAATAGTAAGAGTTTTATAAAGTGCGGATTTACAATTAACAAATTAATTACTTGTTGATGAATAATGTACTTAAAAGTCTAACTTTGAGAATTACTGTGTCGAATATAAAATTGCTGTGACAACAATTAGTCGTATAAAATAAGATAAATTATACTATAGCTATTCTAAAAAAATATATATATATATTACAGTTTCTAATAAAAATGTGTTCATGCCTTAGACAGGCGCATAAAAAGAGAATATAGCAAGAAAATATGTATTTATTAAGAAAATCGAGTGCAATACTCACTAATTGATAATAATCATTAGTTTTGAATAAAATCTGTAATCTTCAATGTTTAGAAATATTGAATTATCTTCGTCTCTTGTAATGCACATAGAAATAAAAGATACATTTTTCTCGGCAATTTATAGTTTATTCTCCAAAACAAAACAAAAAAATAAAAAAATCTTATAAAAATATTTAATATTATATAAACCCCCTATAAGAATACTTAATGCTTAATCTTTAATGTATGCAAAATATGTTTGTGTGTAAATAGATTAAAATACACTCACTAAAATATTCCTGAAGGAAAATTCTTGAAAAGAAAGATAAAACAAAAAGATAATATTAGGAGTGTGATTTAGTTTTTAGGGTTTCGCAAGAGATTAAAATGTTTTGATTTAGGTATTTATTCATTATCTTGTTTAAATAAATCAGTTTTTTACAAAAAACAAAAACCTTCAAAACTAAATTACACACCTAATAAAAGCAAGATAATGAAATCTCTTATTTTGAATATTACATTCATCGAATTTTTTTTTTTCTGTTATCGTTTTTTAATATTTTAATACCACTTATATTGTAAACTTTTACAATTATTGCAATTTGTTAATATCATCCTGTGTGAGTAATTATATTTAAAAATTATTCGTATAGAAAGAGAGAGAGAGAGAAAGGACAAAATTAATAAATTGCAATAATTGTGGAAGTTTACAATGCTCACTAAACAGTAATCTCAGATATTCTTTCTTACGAAGAATCGGATGGCCTATATCTTTAATAATCAGTATTTTATTTTTTAAGTATATTTTATATATCTATATATATAATTCTATATATATAATTATTATATATATATTCAATATCGATTGTTCGAACCATTTGAATTTAGCGCCCTCTTCACACGTACAATGACGTAAAAAAATCCATTCGTAGATTTCCGCATTGAAACAAAGGATAAGCGCCAAAAGTGGTTAGTTTTTCGAAGTCGCGTGGCTTGAGCGTGGTTTCGCGTAATTTGGAATAACGGATTTACATCATTAGTGATAAGATAGATTGAAAAAGAGCGATGCGAGAGATATATTGAATTAAGGTAATTTTACAGCATCCGGGCGCTTCGTGTCCCGTTCGCATTTGCGAATTTTTTTCTCCTATTAGAAGTTACGTATTCGCGTCGTCGAATGGAGTGTTATATACACTACGTTTCTTTATCCATTTGATAAAAGGGTCGACAGCAAGGACACGATTGTTTCGGTAATTAATTACCGGACCACGATAGCAAAAACGGGTGGAAAAGAAAAAAATAGAGGCTGAATAAAGTGGAACGCGTTTGTAAATTATTTGGGAGATATGAGAGCAACATGATAAATAACGTTATTTTCATGTGAAAGGTAACGTCAAAATGTTATAATTTAGAAACGGCGAACCGACAAATGGCAAAATCGCGTCTAGTTGTTGGTGATTCAAAATTTGTTAGTCCAAATCGAAATGAGAATGCCCGGTTGCCACATTGTCCTTCGGTCTTGCATATTGCACGTACATAATCAGCACAAAACGTAATTCAATACTCGCGGTATCAAAACATTCATTCCTTCGCATTGCAAACGAAGGAGAGATTATCTTCTTATGACTAATTATGTCTATACTAATATTTGCAGAAGTCTCCATACGGAAGCAAGAAATACAACCTAGAAGACTGACACAGATAAGAAGTTATTTGACCTAAAATTATGTTACCAGAGCGAGCCAATATGAGCCAGCAGTTAACCTCTGAACTTGTTGTTTTCGTCACTCATGTCGAACCTGATGATGTATACCTGAAGATATGGGGTCAGGTGGACAAACAGGCAGCCACTGCCATCGAGCATTTTATATATCCTTTGATAGAACAGTTTAATCAAGGATATGGCTGTCCATCTAAAGCTAATAGATTGATGGCTGGATCATTGTGCTGTGCTAGATTTCAGACCGAAGGTTACTATCGAGCAAAAATAGTCAATGTGCATCCTGATGACACAGTTGTCGTACAATTTATTGACTATGGCAACATGGAAGTTCTATCACGGAACGATATCCATCTATTGGACAGCATACGTGGATCAGAATCTCTACAAGCTTATCCAGCAATGGCAACTGAATTTACATTGCTTAATGTATTGCCTGTAAATGGTGTTTGGGAAAATAGAACGATTGAGTCAATTAGAAAAAATTTATGTTACAATGAATACAGAGCATTGGTTCAGATGATGAATAATCATTGCCTGATTAAACTATGGTACAACAACGAAGATTTTAGCGAATTATTGGTCAAGGAACGTATGGCTTTACCAGCCACTTTGCAAGACATGTTTAGGTATAACATTTTATAATATTATACATTTTGTAGATTTAATCAGATATATTTTAACCTTCTGCCAGTCAAATAGAACTTTGAAGATATAATTAGTCTTTTGATTATAAATTCTGATACATAAATTTAATCAAATAAAGAAAAAAATTTCTATTTTTATAATCAAGTCATCTTAAGGGGGCATTTACATTTGGAGCCTCAAAAAAGGCATTCTTCATGAATTTTTTTTAGAACCAAGAAACAAAATATAAAAATGGGACTATTTATATAACAAAGTACACCTTTTGTAATTCTCATACAAAGTTTTTTACAGTAATTTTGTTGGATAATCCCTCCACTTCATTATCGTGTAGTTAGCCGTGTATGCCACGCATGATTCCGCGATTACAATGATTTCTCCTTACTCGTTTATCTAAAACACAAAAATCAAACGGCATCTTAAAGAAGAGTAAATTTCCTTGCCATTGTCGTATCCAATTTTTAAAATTCGAATTTTAAACAAAATGGCGAACTTTTAAAGTTAAAGTGCCAATTTTCGACAAAAAATTTTGTTTGTTTAAAAAAAAATAGAAAGAATTTGAATTTTAAAAATTGGATACGACAACGACAAGTAAATTTCATAAGTTTTCAGTAATAAAAAAAAAAGACAAATTAGTGAATCCGTTTTCAAGTTATTGTAACCGATTTTAAAAACATGGTTTTGAGAAAAAAACGCGTTTAAAGTTTTTAAACAGCTTTACTCTATTGTCAATTTCTGGGTCAAAATGTGTTGTAACTTCTTTACTTATTGGAATTTCAAAAAACGGTTTTAAGACGATATTTTTGAAGGTTTAAACTGTCGAAAAATGCATTTTAAAAAATCGATTTTTTTTTAAATCAACAAACGTATATGATGCCCCCTTAATACTTAAGAATGTTCATATGCAAATTTACAAATGCATTTTTCAATTTAATTGCTTTATATATGAGAACATTATTAAATACTAAAATCTGCTTTGACTGAAAATAAAAATCATGCTTTGATTTATTGATCTAAATTTTACTTATAATAAATAAGTTTAAATCTATAAAAAAAATAAATATACAATATGATTTCTATCATAGCAAAAAGTTTGCACAAGTATGCGCAAAAACTCTTTTAGCTTTTTATACAATCTGAAACACTATTAAAATCTGCATTAAAATTCAAAGGTTAGTATGTAGTCGGTTCTTATTATAAGACAGTCTCAAATAGTCTTAAGATGTTAATATGTGTATAGCCCTTTGATTATCTTATGATATTTTAAGGTAATTTTAAATATAAGAACCAACTATATAACATTCATATTGTTTTAACAAAATTAAATATTGCAAACAGAAGATTAAAGACTATTTTCTTTTTTTTTGTTACTATATTAAATAAATTTTTTGTTAATTATATTAAATAATTTTTCATTTTTAGACCAAAACGTACACCGCAATCTCGAATGCTTCAACAAATGCCATATCATCAACAAAATAAGGGCAATATGAATTTTGCAGCCATGCCAATGATGCAAAATCCAAATCATAATGTCAATGTACAAGGAATGTACCACAAGACTTTTTCTCCTAATGTAAATCAACCTAAACATATTGTTCAACCAATACTGCAGCATCCATCGCCACCACAACCACAACCACCACCACCACCACCACCACCTGTTCAAGAAGCGCTCGTGTTTAAATCACGAGTATTAGAGGTGGGCTCACGTTATGAAGTATTCATATCGCACGTAGAAGATGGCCCACAAAAATTTTCTATACAAGTTGAAAGCGCAAACGATGTACTGACTCGTCTCATGACTGAGATAAACAATCATTCAAAAAAACCCTTGCAAGAACCACCACTACCAGGATCAGTTTGCTTGGGACGATACAAGGATTCTGGAGAAGATGGAGTACTATGTCGGGCGGTTGTAATGTCTGTTATGGAGCATAAATGCAAACTCTATTATGTTGATTTTGGCCATACAGAAATTTTACCGTATACAGATATTTTTCAATTGCCACCTGAATATATTAATCCTAAAGTGCTCTCCATTCGATTTACATTAAGCGGCTTAAAAGAATTAATTATCACACAAGAGATGAAAGAGTACTTTAAGGAACTAGTGTACAGAAGATTACTTATTCTACATGTCCGTCCACCTGAAGGACCACCGTTGATTCAGTATGGCGACTTGTACGACAATGGTGTTAATATAAAGGATCTGCTGAAAAAAGCATTCCCAGAACCAGTTACAATGGTGCCGGTAACATATTCATATCCACAATTGAAACGATTAGCAAAAGATTTCCAGGAAGTTGTTTACGTTTCTTATGTAGAATCGTGCAAAAAATTCTTTGTACAACTGGACAGTGGAGTAAAGTCTCTCGAGTCAATAATGGCTGGCCTAACGCAATATACCAAAACCGCGTCTACTTTAAATATAGCACAATTGAAAACAGGACAACCCTGTGCTGCTTTATACGATTCACAATGGTATGTTTTCAAATGTCACAATGTGTTTTATACTATTATTTTCCGAGTTGATAATAACTGCTATGTATCTTTTTTTTTTCTTAGGTATCGTGCACAAATTCTTGGCATTATTGGAGACAAAGTCAAAGTAGTATATGTTGATTATGGAAACGAAGAGGTATTACCTGTAATATCCCTTCGTGTAATTCATGGTGACTTAGTAACAAAATTACCTGCACAAGCCATACAATGTGCGTTGAATGGCTATGAGGTACTTTCGTTAGATCAAGAAGTCTCCAACCATTTTGAAAGATTAACACTCGAGAAACGTTTTTACATGAAAGTAGTTGCTGCACAACCTAATGGCCTATTAGTTGATTTATTCGAATTTGATACAATGAGAAGCGTTCATCCTCAATTATTAAACAATATATTCTGCGATAAAACTGATAATTCTACAAATGAAGATGTTCAGCATCCTGTAAAGAATGAATTTCAAAGGTAATATATAATTTGAAACGATATCGATATTAAAATTCAATATCGATACTACAATTTAAAACAAACGTTTCTTTTCACGAATTATTGTAATATATTTATGATTATTTACAAGCTTTATAATAAAATTATTAAATAAGATATTGATAATAGTGATGCAATTTATTATATTGCAAGTTTCATATAAAAATCTAAGAAAATGCGTAACATGTGTATATTTTATTATGATAAAATTATCATAGTTTGAGTTAAGCTATAAAATACTTATATATCTCCATTAAACAATATTGGCATTTTATGATACAATTATTTGATATAATTGTATGTTATATTAAATTTTGTTTTAATTTTTAATGATTTGTTAATTCTTTTCATAACTGTTCAATATAATTCATAATTTTTAAATGTAGTTATTTTTTGTTACTAAATAAATTTGTTATATTTAAATAAAAATTATTTTAATACAGCTTTATTTCTTTTACAGTGAAAATAAAGATAAATATAATAAAAGAAATAACATGGATTCTTGGAATCGTAATCAAAATGCTAAACCTTTCCAAGATAATAAATCAAATAGTTGGAGAGATGAATCGTCTCAGGAAAAACAGTACGATAATCGACGTGAAAGAGCCGGCGCCTATCCCTATCGTGACAGTTCACAGAACGATCGATTTATTAGAGACAAACCAACGAACAATAGATTTGATAGAGAAAAATCGTATAACAAATACGATGAGGGTGATGTAAATTCATTTAACAGAGGTTCATTTAATAGAGGAACTCGCGATAATGGAAATAGATTCTCTGGTAACGAAAGGAGATACAACCGTTACAATTCTGAAAAAAATAGCGATAAAGATTCAGATACTTCGTCCAAAGATAATGATAGACGAGGAAAAGGTGGTTTTAAACGTAATGATTTTAATGATAGCCGAGGAAGCCGTGATGGTGGAGCATCGGGCAAATGGCAAACTTCAAATTGGAATGACAAAAAGCCACCTTATAAGACTAATTATAGAAACGAGAAATTTAATGGTATTCAATTTTTACAAATATAAATATTTAATGTTTAATGTATAATATAAAAATGTGATTTTTCTTATAATATATTTTATTGAATATAGATGTCTATGACAGCAACAATAAATTCAAGAAAGAAGACAATACAAGTGAGACTGTATACAATCAGGTAGAGGAAAAAAATTATAATTAAATATTTGAAGTATTATGAATTGTATAACTTGTTTGATAGATATATCAATATTTTATAAAATATTACATGTGCATAATATTGCATTAATATTATTTACAGACAACTGATTGTGAATCATGGGATACGAATGATATAAATAACGAGCTACAGGACAATATTGCTGTTAGCAAAAAATCTCAACTTAAGAAAATTGATATTACTCTTGATTCTGTAAAGAATTGTGAACTTGTATTTCTTAACAGTCCATCGGACTTTTTTATTCAGTTAAGTCCTGATTGCTTAGAATTAAACTCTGTCATGGAACTTATTGCTGCAACTTATGAGAATGGTGGAGATATAATGCAAGCTTCCGAAATACAAAGTGGTACATATTGTATTGCTCAATATTCAGAGGATCTTAAATGGTACAGAGCAGTAATAAAATCTGTAGAAGAGAGCAGCGTAACTGTGGAATTTGTCGACTATGGAAATACTGAATCAGTCGATTTTATGAATATTAAAGTCATTTTAGAAGAATTTCTAAAATTACCAATGCAAGCAATACATTGTAAACTGCTCGGATTGGCAAATATGGACAATGAAGAAAATCAATATGCGATTTTCTTGGAGAAGACCGAAGGGAAATCTTTACAGGTGAAATTTGTTTCTGAAGAAAATGAAATATATGAAGTACTATTATGTGAAGTTGTTGATAATGTACCGAATACTAATTATATAAATGAAGAGTTTGGCACAATCGCAAATTCGTCGAAAATGGAACAAATTGCAACAAATAAAAAAGCATTTAATATTGTGACAGAAAACAGAATAGTTACAGAATATGCTCCTCCTGACTTAAAATGGCAAACAACTTTATACGAGCCTGAATCTAAACATGATATAGTCGTGACATGGTTTATTAATCCTAATAAGTTATATTGTCAACTATTATCTAAAGAAGCAGAATTTAAAACAATGATGAGCGATATTCAAAAAATATGTGCTAATAGTAAACCTGTGACATACAAATTGGAGGTAATTACTGTTCTCATATATTTAATCTACTTTATCAAATTTACTATTTTTATTCTAAGAACAGATTCATCTATATTTATGAAAAACAGTACTGTAGTCGAATACAAAAATATAACTGTTTCTTCTTTTTTTTTTTAGATCGGTTCAGCAGTCATAGCTATATTTTCTGAAGATAAAGCTTTTTATCGAGCGGAAGTTATGAGTATTGATGCTAAAAAAGATGTATTCGTAGTTCAGTATATAGATTTTGGAAATTACGCAATCGTAGATCGACATAATATCTATCCTGTCGAGAAGAAATTCATGCAGCTGTCCAAATTAGCAGTGCTGTGTTCCTTAAAAGATATCGTACCTAATAATAATAATACGAATTGGTCCGAAGTGGATAATGATGCGCTTGACAGATGCTTTAATGCTGACAAATATAAATGCACATTCCATAGTTTTAAAGACGATTTATATGTAATTTCATTAAATCGAAATGGACAAGATGTGGGTAGTATATTAGTACAACAAAATCTTGCTGCCTTTACAAAAACCTTAATTGAAACAGTTAACGGTAAGAATTATTTTAAAATCTGTTTTATATTTCAATGATTTCTAACATGCATAATTAGACCAGTGCGCTCTAAAAAAAACATTTATATTATGCACATGATAAAAGTTGTTATATTATAATAAACATTATACAAAAGGTCATCATTATATTTTGTATATTTTAACTGCAGATACAGGTAATATAAAAGGAAACGAGCTCATTGATGTAGAAAGGGTGGACATAAGTCTTTTAAGTGGTCAAACTCTCAAAATGAGAATTTCTAATGTAGAAACTACAACACAGTTTTATGTTCAGCTTCCATCTGCCATAAAATGTGAAAACATTGTCGATCAATATATGGCTGATAAAGATACAAAGGTATTAGTACAAGTCTATTTTAGCCGCGAATCAGATTCTGTCATACATATCGCTCGTAAAATATAGAGAAAATTAAAGTATCTTTCCATTTTTTAACAAACGTAAACTAACGGCTGGTCTTAAAATAACAAGCTATGGTATTTGTCATTATTTAGTAATAAGCAAAATGTATTTAGCAATTTTTTTTCAATTTCCTAAACGATTGAACAAATTTGAAATTATTTCTGGAACTTTATGATTATTAAATGTAAGTACCGGTGATGGAAAAGAAAATATTTCATGTATATAAAAATTTAATCTCTTGTTAACATACAAAAGATAACTAACGCCATAAATCTGATTAATCATGTAACAACAATGACAGCCCGACGTGAATGAATTTAATTGTACCTTTCTAAAAACTTTAATAATATTTAATTCCAATCCCAAAATAAAATATCTTGAATATCATTGCACGATGTATGGTATTAACACCTAAATAAAAATCAATCATAACGTAATATCCTTATAAATATTTCATCATAATATTAAAATTTCTTAAAATAACAATTTTAACATTGAAATAACTTACATCTCCTCAACTTAACGATTGATCGCATGAACTCAAGCGAATTTTATTGATAAAGAGAAGTTACGATAATATCAGGTGATGCTACGATTATCAACCCGCGAATTATGTATTGGCGCGGGTTGTTTAGTCAATACAAATGGAACATGGAGGCGAGCTGTAGTAATTAACTGTACACGGTCCGTCGGGTTTGACGTAAAGCTCATTGATACCGGGACGTACGATGAAATTTTGAATAATGTGAGTTTTTATAGACAAATATTTATAAAAACTATAAGTTGTATCGATTTCACGGAGCGAGTTAATACCATACATCATGTCACAGTATGAGATTACGACATATTGAACCTGGTAGAAATTGTAAATTATGAATAAATAATTTTAATATTTATTAGTTTCTATCATTAATATGATAATGTTAATGGTCCAGGCTTTAGCTTTACCTAGAGAGCTCGCAGTCATGCAGAACCAAGCATTAGAATGCTCTTTACAAAATGTACCAGCGTTGCCCAATGCAGAAAAACAATTGAAAGAACTTGAAGGTACAGAAGTATTAATTTATGTGGAAGAAGTCAATAATAACAGGTTTGTAAATTTTGCTGCAATTATAAATATACGAATAAGTTTCTGATTAATAGATATTAACATCTTTTGTTTGTGTAGACTTATGGTAAAGTTGTACGATCTATTCGGTAATGGCATAATGAATACTGAAGAGAAGATATCACCCGTATGTGCAATGCCCATTCTAAGTTCAACTCAAAATGTCGCTGTATCTTCTATGGATCATTCTGCTAGCATCTGGTTGCAACGATCTTTAGATGTGGATGTTGAGGCTAAACTATTGAAAGATCTTGAACAATATTATACTAATTCTGGACAAAGACTCAAACCCGAAATTCATTCATTATGCGCGACGAAATATACAAATGACGGCCAATGGTACAGAGGAAAAATCATTAGTTTTACTGAAACGACGGCCTATGTAAATTATATTGACTATGGCAACAATGAGGAAGTTGCATTAGATTCGGTCATGGTTTTGGAACCGCAGTTTTATGAACCCCATCAATTAGCCATAAATGTATCATTGTCCGTATCCCTTACTGGCACTGAAGCTGAACAGAACGATATATTGCAATCTCATTTAATAGGTAAAGATTTTATGGCTACATTTTACAACGTACACCAAAATTGGATCGTTGATCTAATTGAAAATGGAGAAAAGCTTAGTGATAAATTCCGTTCGTTGAATCTAGTAAAAATAGAACAAACATCTGAATTAGCATCTCAACCAGCATCTCAGATATACGAAACAACACCTGGCATATTCGACGTATGTGTATCTCATGTGGATTCTCCAAGTCAGTTCTGGTTGCAGCGTATAGATGAGACTACGTCTCTTAATGAAAAACAAGAACAACTTCAGTTAGAGGTTCCGAATTTTTTGACGATCGATGGTATACCGGAAGAAGGCACTTTGTGTGTTGCCGTTTACTCAATTGACGATCTCTGGTACCGCGCGGAGGTATTAGACGCTGATGAAGATATCATAACTGTTCGATTCATAGACTATGGCAATACTGATGTCGTAGACAACAAACCAAGTAACATTCGACAGATGCCGGATGACTGGAAGAACCTAGAAGCATTTGCATTTAAATGCAGACTCGATGTTATTCCTGTAGATACGGAGGATTGGAATGAGGCGACTTGCGAGAGATTCAAGAATTTAGTAATGTCAGTGGAGAGTCAGGCTCTGATAGTAGCAGATACTATGCCTAAGCGTGTAGAACTGTTTATAGACAACAAGAGCGTCAGCGAGACGTTAGTCGAAGAGAAACACGCCATCATAATTAATACCGAGCAAGAACTCGTAAATGAGATAGTCGATCTTGAACTTGATCCGCACTCAGCCTTCGTGTGTCACATTAATTCACCGAACGAGTTTTGGGTTCAGGAAGAAAAATCGGTTGCTGATTTAGAAGTGATGGCGGATAGATTTATGGTCGCCGATATGTTCTCAAAGATTGAAGAAAGGAAAGAAGGTTTACTGTGTGTCGCAAAGTATCCTGAGGACGAACAATGGTACAGAGCGCGCATTGTCTCTTATGACGATAATGGCACGCAAGTCATATACATTGATTACGGAAATTCTGCAACATCCACCGAAATTCGCGCCATTCCAGAAGATCTAGCGAGTATACCGCCTTTGTCGCGAAAATGCTGCTTAGAATTGCCATTGCAAGTCGCGGAATGGTCTGAGCAGGCACGTGAAGAATTCATCAAATTGGCTGCAGACGGCGCGACAATTTTCCTCCTAGACGTTCTGAAAGACCAAGAGACGTCGTTGGTGAAACTAACATTGGACGGCCAAAATGTCGCTGACATTCTTGGTAATATGTGCGAGCGAAATTCGCCGGTTATCGAGGAGAGATTGCCACCGCTCGGTGAAGAGAATTCACCGAATGTGGTAGTCAGTCACATCAATAATCTGAACGAGTTCTGGATTCAAGCCGAAAGCAGTATAAGCGAACTGGAAGTAATGTCGGATCGTCTACGAGATGCAGAAAGTTTTCTGACGTTAAATAGCTTCGACGTGGGTACAGTCTGTGCAGCTCGATATCCCGAGGACGGTTATTGGTACAGGGCAAAGATAGTCGCGCATTGTAAAGAAGGTACGGATGTCTTGTACATGGATTACGGCAATTCTGCGGTTACGGAGGACTTGCGAGTGCTGCCGGAGGATATCGTGAATATTCCCATTTTATCGAAACGATGCACACTGGAAAAACCAAACAACATTGTTGCATGGAGTGAAGAAGCTTGCAACAAATTTAAGGAACTCGCCGCCGAAGGAGCTACAATGTTCCAGTTTGAAACTCTTAACGAAGACGACCCAATGCACGTTCGATTATGTCTAAACGGAACAAATATTATTGATCTTTTATCTGAATGTGAAAATATTCCAGTAGTTATAGAAATAACCGATACAGAAGATAAAAATATTGCTGAAAATAATACTGTCGATAAGGAAATACAAAAAACAACATTACATGATGATCAACTAGTAAAGGATAAAGAAACATTATTCAGTCAAATGGATGTGGAATGCATTAACCAAATGAAAAAGCTTGAAATTAATGAAGTAGCATCTATTGAATTGATTAACCCTGATATAGATGAGAAATGCGAAGACCAGCAAATTACAAGCTTTAGCGAAATCAAAGATAACGTAGATGACAGTTCTGAAATTACAATTGTAGAATGTACTTCCTCAATATTAAAAGAAATTATCAATCAAGTCGAAAAGGAGAAGGATTTAGATGTCGAGGTTAAAAGTGAAATGACTTCTAGTGCAAGTACTTCTATTGCACCATGTTTAATAGCATCCTCGTCCAATGTAAAAGAACTTAGCATTGACGAAATAGTTGAGAGTATGATAAAAAATGCCACTGACGATCTAGAATCACAGAAAATTAATGATGCAAATTTATTTAATGTAAAAAGAGACATTGATGATCTAGAATCGAACAAGGTTTTATCTGTAACGACTGAAGAACACCCTCAGGACGTACAATTCCATACTAGTCAAGCTAAGAATGAGGAACAAAAAGTATGCATTAAGATGGAATCTGAAGCAAACGAGTCTTCAAGATCTGAAATTTTAGAAACGGTATCGTGCTTATCAAAAGAACAAATAAATTTCGAACATATTCAAAAGCAAAGTCCAACAAAGAACGGAGTCATTCATGAAAGTATAAACAATGGTTTTGAAACTCATTCTGGGAACACAGATTCTTCCTCGGAATTATCTTCTACAGTGGAATCGCCCATAATTAAGACTGAGCCAAGTACACAACGTAGTCATTCAGAAAAACAGTCAGAGGATATGCTTCGTATTTCTGAAAACGAGCCAAATGAAAGCAAAAGCGAAACAGAAGCAAAATGTTCTTTGACACCAAAAACGTCACATACGGAGACAATTGTAGCCGCTGTCGTGGCTTCCTATGTACAAGCAGTTCTCGACGATAAAAACGAAACTGACGAGGTGCTTGGTATCTCTGAGGACATTCCTAAATAGATGGTGTAATTTTATGATATAATGGATGCGTATTGCAAATTAATATGCACATTATGTACGTACGTATAAACTTACAGTATAAGAATTTGTACAACGTAGTTTTTTCAAAAGATTATTTTTATTTGCCGTAATTTCTTACTATGTTTACATAAGTATAATGCATATTTAACCAAAAAGCTATATATAACGTATAGCGAAAAAGTTCAGTTTTTCTTCTTTATATATATATATATATATATATAAGCGACACAAATATGCCGCATTTCTTATAAATTTACTACATGTGCTACTACAATACACGTTACACCAAATATACAACCAAAGATTAATTTGCTTAATCGATAGCTGTGAATTACATTATTTTTATATTTAATGATGATTAACTTGTTAATCGTATAATATTGAATAATTAATACTGTTCTTTTTGACATTCCTGATTCTTTTTTATAAGAAATACTTTTTTTATTAAATTAATATCTTTCCAGTTTTCTATTTTCAACTTGAGATAACTAAATTTTTCTTTATTGAAACAATATTAACATTATTACAATAATATAATACTATTCTTATAACTGTTTTTTGATCATTATAATAAGCAAATTAAAGTTTTACTTGTTTGACATAGTATATATTTGATAACTATATAACCAAATATTTGAGGCAATTTTTAATGCTATTTGATTGCTAAGAAGCGAAATATATATGCAGTTATTTTTTGTTTTCAACAAATGCACGATTCTATAAAATAATATCTAAAAGTTGTTTTCGCAATATTATAATTACGCAGCATATAAAACAGGTAGCGTTCAAACGTGATTGTATGTGACTTAAAGTTTTTTTTAACATTATGAGGAAATTGTAAAGTGATATCTAAAACGTAATTAGAGAGAAAGAAAAGCTGCTTTTTGTGTCGTTATTACGTTGTATACATTTTTCAGATATATATTAAAACCATAGGTATACATATATATTAAATCAAATGTGAATTGTGAATTCATTTTGTATCCTATGCCATGTATTGCTCCCTTATTTCTGCCTACAGTTCTTTATTAATATGTATAACATTATGATTATAGTGGATGACAGGCAAAGCTGTATAAATTATATTTGTATTCTATTAAAATATATTTTTCTAATAAACATTTCAAGATATTCTATCGCGTTTTATAATTATCCGCATTTATATACTTTGCAATTTACTAATACATGAAATTTCATCATTCATATTTATTTTAATCTTTGTAAAATATTTTTTGTTACAGTTTTGTTGTAGTGTATAACGGATTTTTCTTTGAAAAACAACATATATTTATTATTTCTTGAATTGTTGAGTATTCTGGTAATTTCAGAAGTCAATCTTCAAATTCCTTTTTTTACGACTGCTGCGTGCTCTGGCTTTATTAATTTAAAGAATCTAATATTAATGATTTTCAATCATGTATATAAAAAATACTTTTTCAGTTATATAATTAGTATCACTAAGTATATTTAATTACACATAAATGGCACTATAGTAATGATTATATGTAATACACATTCAAAATATTAATTATACATATGTATATCTTAATAATGTAGTATATAAGTAACATTTCATGCTGTTAAAAAATTTCATTAATGTATAAGTAATGTGTGAGATACGTTATATAAAAAAAAATTATATAAAAACAATTCAATTTTTATTAAAATACGTGATAAAAATTAAGATTTAATCAAATTGCTTCGTATTTCGAGAAGTATCACCCTTTCGTTTAGCAATCATTAAATTCCTTTTGACAGTTGCATTGTAATTATCACGTTTCTCCTTAGCGAGGAACTCGCGCGCGAGCGCAATTTCATCCTCTAGGAACCATCGTAGGGGACCCCGACATCGTCTGCACCGTCCTAGATAAGCTCTACCTTTAGCATCGAGAATTCTGCGTTGAATAGGATACGGCGGCGGACCGATGTCCTGTACACGAAATTTCACTCCGGGTCCGCCGTTACTCAGAACGACATTCGTCAAGGATGACGCAAACGGCGGGTTTCTCATATCATAGCGTTTTTCAGGATCCTGATCCTTCTCCTCGCAACAGAATCCGTACGGTTTCTGCGGCAGCCGCGAGAGTGGCAATTTTGTAAGACTACGTTTACTCGGCACCTTTCTCATATTGCCTTTCAATTAATCGTAGATTTAAGAAATACTTTCTAAGGAATCATCCATTTACAAATTAAAGATTTTACTTATCATAATACATTATGAAGTATACTTTTAATCTTTCAGTAAATTCCATGATGCAAGAAGTTTTGTTACATCATAATAAATTCTTTTAATCATTATATATAGTTGTCAAAATAAAACAGTTGAGAAATTTCATATTAACATGTTTTTTTCAAAAACATATTGCCTTAAGAGGCGCATAATATTATTTAATATTAAGAATTTAATATCAAAAATATTAAATGTAACATTTTAAAAACATTTTGCTAAAATTATAAGGTATTAAATAATATTCTTGAAATATTGATGGATGCGGTTATATATATGCGTCCACTCTTGATAATATTATATATGATTACGTAACATTATTTAATATGTTACTGTAATATTGTATGAACATTAAAAAGAATTATAACATCTACTGTAATTTGTAATATTGTTACACCAGTTCAGTTTAAGTATACATTTAAAAATTGAAAATGATTTTGACGCACAGTTTGTAGAACTAGATATGTACGCAAAATCACACCGAAACTTACGTTATTTAAGCACGAGACGTGTACAGAATAGACTAATAAGATCCTTTTTATTATGTAATTATGAATTTAAATTCCAATAATATCAAAATAATATTAATAAATATTTTAATAAGATTTCAGAGATATATTAAAGAAAATATATCAAGGATATTATATTATATATATAAATGAACATATATATAACATCCATACAATATATTCTCATAATATTAAAAATATGTTATACATAAACGTATTATTCTCGAAATATAACTTATTTTAATTATTTAATAATATTTATATATCATTTTAGGAATATTTAAGACTATAGAGTGCTGAAGATTTTTATATACGTAATCGATCTTATAATTTTCAATTGACTTAAATCGTTTATTGTTAAAGTAAAACAACTAAGAAAAATAGTGAAAAATTTAATTATATTGCTGGAGAGTGAAAAGCAATATAATTCGGGCTTAAAAACAAGTTACGAGGGTAAAATTTATTCTCATTCCCTATTTTTTATTAATTACATTCGGTGTCAAAACGTCCATCGGTGTTCAGATTATTCCAGATTATTCTTCTGCAACAAATGCATCAAGAAGCACGACCGCTCATTGAGCACCCAATGGGTGGATAAGGACTATAAGAGGGAGAGCAAACAATTTACCAATCACAGTCGATTTTCTTCTCACATTCGACTGTGGTTGGTTAATTTCTTACTCTTACCATTGGTAGAGCATGTAAAGTCCACAAATAGCAAAGTACTTTTTAACCCAGGTTGGAGTACTTAAACCTTGTTGGCATCTGGAGTCTGGACCGGGTCGAAAATGTCATAATAAGTAGTATTGTACGAGTGTCATGGTATGTAATCGGCTGTTGTAGGACTCGTAGATCGAATTATGAATTCGTCTACCCTGTCGACGAGCACTTTAGGACATTCGACGGGGCAGAGAACGCCAGAATCCCAGGACTCTGAGCTAACCTCAAGCGCGACTCAAACATCCAAGATCCTAAATCAAATGAAATCTGAATTGCAAGAGCAGAAGCAGCGTAAACGATTTCTCAAGGAACTTCATACAAAGCGCGTACAATCCTTGCGAAAAGAATTAGACTATCTTAAAGCGACAGAGTGGAGATATCAGTCTATAGATCGGTATAAACATCATGTTTTTCTTTCATCTCTATTTTTCATTTCTCCTTTACTGCTTGGTTGGTGACTGCTTTTTCCATAAACATTTCTATATCATTTAGATAAAAAAGTACTTCCTTAAAATGCTTTTTAGCAAGACATGATATAATATTTTATCTTTATATAAGATATAATGATTCCCTGTGTTATATTGTGCCTATTAGCGAATGCCATCACTTGTATTATACTAGATCAATGCTGCTGTACTAAATGCTGTTATACATAAAAATTAGTGAAGTAGAAACATAAATATTTCAAAGATCAAGTATAGATTACAGTCAATAAAAACAGTGTTACATTTATATCACTATCAGTGTATTCCTTGCCTTGATGAAGTGAACAGCAAGGTTCATGAAACGTTGGCATTAGCAATGTATAAAAACACAGTGATAATCTGCAAATTTTCTGGTATAATTAAAAATAATGCCTGTGAAAGCCTAAAATGCATTATGTATATATTATTTTATTGTAAAGTTGATTATATTATGTTACTGCGTTAGATACTAAGGCTTTGACTATATTCTATTATTTACTGCAAATACAAATGTTCAAGCTTATACAAATTTATATTACTTAGGGTACTATTTCATTTGTGCATTTTTGTTATACGACAAAAACTCAAATGAAATAGGTAGTGACCCTATACTACAGATGTTCAGTGAATAAGGGAACACTCTTTAAATGGTACTAACTCAATATAATAGAAATGATCGCATACCTCTTGCTGGAAAGTATTTCTAAGTTATGTTCATTTGATGCTTGTGATTCTTGAAATCATTTCTTCTTTATTATTTATCATATTAGACAAAGATAAATGATGGATATTATACTCATTTTAAATATCTAAACTTGCTTTCATGTTTATAGGTACTTAGATAGGAGCCAGAGGAATTAAAGATGTTATCATTATTGCATAGTGGAATTCAGTATGCTATAAGCTATGTATATCCAAAGAAGACAGAAGCAGAGAAGAGTGAAGAGGAAGACATAGATAAAGTTATATGTCGTATAGAGCTCGCAAATGAGGCCAACGCAGACAAAACTGTAAAGAAAGAAGAAGCACTAAACGAAGAAGGATGTTACTACAAGACGGGAAGTGTTACCTATGTCACTACAGATTATATCCTCATAGATGATTCCTATACATATGAAAAAATGGATGATTTGACTAGTAATCTTAAAGTAGGTGATGAAATTTACTACTTGCTATATCTACGAGATCCAAATGCAAAGCCAAAAGTACAAAAAATTATCAGCGTAATGAACACCTGGAATAATGAAAACATTATTGTAAAACATAATGTACACAATTATACGACATCAAGGAACTTAGTTGGCAAAGTGATAAAACGTGAAGGCCGAATTGCCATTGTTGAGCCGAATGATCTTTATATTGACTTGAGCAAAGTGCGATCTGACTTCATTCCCCTAGTTGGTGATTGGTTGTCAATAGACTGCTTAGTCGAATTGGACAATGAATCTAAAGATTGGATTGGCGAAATCTTGGAGATTAATAGAATTAAACCATTACGATCTCAACTAAACTGTGGTGTGATATCAAAGTATAATCCACAGAACGAGGTGGGAGTAATTAATAAGGATGTGATTTTTTATAAGCGCACATGTGGTATGGGTTATACTCCTTATATTGGTGACAAAGTGGTGACCGAAAGCATAGAAAGTGATCAAGGACAGTACAAATGGAGATCGTTGACTGTAATTCCATTAATAAAGGTAAAAATTCATTTATTATATGTTTTGATATTATGTAATAAATTTCTGAATACTAATATTGTATTCTTATTTTAGGGTCCAAATAAATGTATTAAATCAATAACAAATACATTTTCTTCCGTATTAGATACAGAATTATTAAAAAACAAATATGGTATTGTTATAGATAACGAATTAAAATTCAATTTGAACATAGGAGAAGAAGATACTTTGAGGGTTTCAATACAAAATAACGCCAGTTATGCTCATTTATTGCAAAGTGGTTCCTTTGGGCCACAGACGACTCCATCTCAGTTATCAGTAGTGTCATCGATAGATACAAATATTAGCGTAGTAATAAATCCTTCGGAAAGTATTGCTTATACATTCAAATGCAAAGCACAATTTGTTGGTACATCAGAAGAACTATTTATCTTTAATTTCAAAGACTTCAAGATAGCTAGAATATTTCATATAAATATCAATATAAAGAACATTTTACAAAAGTTGAATTCTGAATCTATTCAACAAAAGGAAGAGAAAAATAATTTACCCGACTTGAATGAGTTAATTGAAACTACATGTATCCCTGGAGTAAGATCAATCAAACCGCCTGCATTTATCAAAGTACGCAATGGAATCTTTAAAATACCGCGACATATTTGGAATGTAGTTTACGATACTATGCACAGTAAACTATCAATGACAGAAAGCAAAATTGCTGTTGGAGATCATATACCTTGTCTTCAAAAAGAGCTTTCCTTTGAGACATATAAGGAACGTTTTCATGCTTTATTGTATCTGGAAGAGATAGGTGTAACGTTGTATTTACAAAAATATGATATGAAAAGTGCGATTCTACGACGATGTGATGATTATCTTACACTTGAAGTGCCAGGATTAGTAGAAAAACGACCTTCCCTGATGATTGGCGATAAAGCCATAGTATCTTTTCAGTGGGATAGTTCTAAAGGTAATACTTAAAAAAAAGTTTTAAAAAATATATTTTTATATTATGTACATACATAGTTACTATAGAAATTTTACAATACGTGATATTTATTAAAAGTTTAGCAATACATGATATTTATTGGAAGGAGCGGATAGATATGACTATTGGATAGAATGTAATACAAATCGGTGGGAAGAGAACAAGCCATAATCTTGTATGCTACGCATTCGCGCAGAAATACATATCTAATTACAGCCACAAGTATATCTTTGCTTCTTTCAATAAATATCGTGCATTACTAAACTTTTATAGCTACTTTAACATATGTATATTGTTGAAAGATAAAAATGTTTTTAAACTAATTTCGATACACATTGAAATATTAATAATTATATATATATATATATATTTTTATATGTTTGTAATAGAAAACCTAAAATATGAGGGCTACATTCATAAAATCAAAAACAAGGAGATCTTTATGAAATTTAACAAACAGTTTCATTATGAATACAATGGCGAGGATTGTCAAGTGTCATTTAAGTACTCAAATAATTGTATTCAACGTTCTCACAATGCTATTAATTTAGCTCTCAACCGTCTTGGACCTGATTTTTTATTTCCTACTCAAGTAGTGCAAAAAGAACCACAGTTCTATTTAGAAGAATATGAGAACGAAGAGAAACCCATTGATGTACAAGATTGTCATAATGAATCAGTTGAATCGTCATTCAAAAAAACAATGTCATCTAAAACAAAAATGAATCCGAATTTTAAAATGAATTTGACAAATTGTACCAACCAAAATAGTAAAACTAACATTGCTAACACCAAAATTTTAAGAACGCCAAATGGATCAATCACTCAAATTAATAATGAACTAAAACCATATATTACTGAAATAAAGAAACGAAAATTAAATTGGTTTAATACAAAACTAAATTATTATCAAAAAGAAGCTGTGAGAAATATAATATTAGGATTAGCGCGTCCACTACCTTACGTTATATTTGGCCCGCCTGGAACAGGAAAGACAGTAACTATATGCGAGACGATCTTACAAATTTTGACCATAATTCCCGAAAGCAGACTTCTCGTAGCAACACCGTCGAACAGCTCGGCAAACTTAATAGCGGAACGCTTGTTGGACAGTAATATACTTAAACCAGGCGATTTGGTATGTTTTCATTTTCTAGATTTTTTGATGATTTATACCAGCGTTTCTGATTTATCATAAAATTTGACAAAATTTTTATTTAATTTATATATTTATTAATAAATACATTTGTTAATAAAGAATTATAAAAAGGATAAAAAATATAAATTATTAAAAAGCTCCATTTTCTCTGTATTTATTTATTATATGTATATGCCGTAGGTTCGATTAATTGCTTACCATTGCTTGAATAGTAATGTTATACCTGAGGAACTATTACCTTATTGTGCTACAGCAGAATTAGGTGAAAAATTGAATGATAATTTCTATCATCACGAAAACGGAGTGAAAACGAATTGCAGCATGTCCGTATTGGGTCGTCATAGAATTACTATCGGCACTTGCAACATATTAGGAATGTTGCACAATATGGGTTTTCCCCGTGGTCATTTCTCACATGTTCTAATTGACGAAGCGGGTCAAGCGACTGAGCCAGAGATCATGATTTCTTTAAATTTCATTCATTCTGATCATGGTCAAGTCATACTCGCGGGCGATCCACTGCAACTTGGGCCTGTGGTGATCAGCAATTTGGCGTCTTTTTTCGGACTTGGTGTATCATTCCTTTCGAGACTTTTACAGCAATTTCCTTATCAGAGGGATCCTGAGGGATTCGAGACCGGCTATGATCCCAGACTCGTAACAAAACTTGTAATGAACTATCGAAGCTTACCAGAAATACTGCATCTACCAAACATGCTGTTTTATGAATCGGAGTTACAGTCGCAAGTGTGTATAACTATTGTTATTATGTCGAATTTGAATTTCTATAAATCATGATTTATCTATAAGTTACTAATTCTATAAGTTAATTATAACTTATTTGTTTGCTATATTTAGTTGTCTAATAATAGTGAAGAAGCTAAACTATTGGAAATGATAAGAGCAGAGCTGCCCGAGAAAGAGGGATCACCACCAGCTATAATCTTTCATGGAACCAATGGTGAGAACTACCAAGATTCTGATAGTCCAAGCTGGTACAATCCCGAAGAAGCTGCACAAGTATATCTCTATTTGTTGAAATTATATAAGTATGGCCTTAAATCGGATGACATAGGAATTGTAACTCCTTATCATAAACAGGTATGTATAAGTATTTTAAATAAAATTTTATAATTTATTAAAAGCCAATTTCTTCCTTTTCTATGAAAACCATTTTTATCAAGGTGATACAAATCCGAGATCTGCTGATGGAGTTAAATCTCAAGTTACCAAAAATTAGCACTGTGGAAGGATTCCAAGGTCAAGAAAGAAAAATAATTATTATTTCGACTGTCAGATCGTGCAACAATTTAATTAATGAAGACGTCAAGCACTCTTTAGGTTTTATTGCTTCGCCCAATAGACTCAACGTCGCAATTACTCGTGCTCGCGCTCTACTTATTATCCTAGGAAATCCAAAATTACTTGTTTTAGATCCATATTGGAGAAACATTCTAACATATTGTATTGCTCATGGTGGATACACAGGATGTAATTTTATACTTTCATAATAAATCTTCAAAATACGTAAAATTATCTCATAACATAATTGTATAACAATCGTAGTACTTAATAATCGTAATACTTAAATAATATTTAAGACAAGATTATTATATAATAGTAATTATATTTATAACAAATAGTTATAATTCTATGTTTTCAGTTATTATGTACGTTATTTTGTACACTATTACAATCAAATGCCAATTTCGAAATTCTGTAACTAATAAAACTGTAATAACAGTTCTTTCTAAAGTCCTCGAATAAAATATTTTTCGATACCTTTTATTACCAAGGACGGAGTACTCGATAGAACAACCTTATAATAACTTCTAGGTTTTTAAACTAAAAATGTTAAGTGTATATGAGGCTATGGATAAAATATACACTAACCGCGAAAAGTTTCGGACATGGTAGTAAAATTTTTGAAACTTTAAGCCGCTCAACTTATCGCAGCACTGATTGTGAACTAAATCAATGATTTTATCATACTGCAGAACAAATGCAATCATAATTCACAAATTGTTTTTCAAATACAATTAAATACCTTTTTTTTACTTCTAAAATAATGAAAAACGACAATGTCTGAAAACTTTTTGTGGGTAGTATACAATAAAAAAATGCGATGTTTTCTCTTATAAAATGTTATTGGTCGCTCATTATTTGTTATAGTATTGTTTGACAATTCCAAGATACTGACAGAGAATAAAAATAAGTACATCTGTTTCATGATGTCACTTATGCATTATTTTTTTTTACATTTGGAAGATACAAGTCTGATTACTGTTAATAATCGGAGGTGGTATATCTCTTTTGGGCACTACTCCTCCACGTTGCATCGAGTTGTCAGAAATCCAAGTTCCACGAGTGATACTAAAATAAAAGTGAATTGTTTTTAAAATTAATATGCAAGAAAAATACATTTTAAAACATCACACTTTTGTAATAGTTTTACATGTAATGGTAAAAGTAATATGAAAAGAAACAAATATTTTAATTGTAATGTGATTGACAAGAACAACAAATTCAATAAATATGAATATGTGTATGCGTGTGAACAAACATCAAAATAATATATTAGAGATACAAAAATTAAAGATTATATAAGACATACAAAAAAATTGGATTAGATATACAGTGGCGTGCAAAAATTTCCAGCCAATAACATTTTGTATTCTAATTTATAAAAAAAGCTTGTGATAAAATTTTAATCGTCATCGGGTATTAGTACAAGATGATAACGAAATCTTGTACTAACATTTGATAATAATTAAAATTCTATCGGGTTTTTTTTTTTTACATACGATAAATTAAAATACAAAATGTCACTGGCTGAAAACTTTTGCACATGCAATTGTATTTATATAATTAGACATATAAATTGATATATATGTATACCATTACAAATTTAACATTAATTTATAATATGCATAACTTTACTTCACTTTTATTTTTCTCATGCCTACTGCAATGTTTTACGCGTTAAATTAACCAAATGATATTATACGCGCAATACGATTGTGAATGATACTGACCTCTGTTAGTTCCACACTATACTTACTGGGTCTTGATTCTTCGCTTTTAGTTTTCTCTCAATTAGGTTCTCTAATGCCTCGCTTCGTACACTCAAAGTCTCAATCTTCTCAACCAATTGTTGATATGGGGACGCCGGCTGTCCTCCCATTACAACATGTCCCAACTTGCTGTCGATCTTAGCATCTAAACGTGCATTACGAATTAAGTTCACAATCCAGCACTCCGCAACTTCCGCCTTCATATTTAATTTCTCCGCAAGCATTCTATAAATAATATAAAAATTATTAATATATAAGTATGTGTGTGTGTATATATATATATATGTATGTGTAATATGACTCTGAAGCATGTATAATCAATTTAAAAAAATTAATCTCTCTCTAATCAAATCTTATTTTTATAATCATGACACAAAAATTACATACTGGATACTAATGCATTGATGAATTCTGCAGAATGTTTCGAAAATCATCAACCGTGCATTTTCCACGAATTCATTCAGTAGAGCGATTAGGAAAAAATCGTTGAAGACGACAGTCTGACACTCTTGCAACTTCTGCCGAGCTCCATCAAAGTCAAAATTAACATATAAATGTTCCAAAAATTCTGTGATAGGATCTCGGTAGGTATAAGATTCCTATATATGTAAAAATAACATTTTTAGCGATATATATGTAATATTTCAATAATATAATATAAAAAATATTAGTATACTGAGGAGAGGAGATGTTACTTAAGTTAAAATATAAGAATTTAGAGAAGAAAAATAAATATTAGTTAAGGGAGGAAGAGGAAATGTTTATCTTTTGTGGAACAGATGCAGATAATACAGAGCATTATGTAAAAGTATGTAAAGAGGTGACAGGTAGATTTGAGGAGTTAGGAGTAGGCAAAGAAGAGATATCTGGACAAAACAAAACGAAAAATATTAAAGGGATTCTGGAAAGATAGAGAGAAAAAAGGAAGAAGAGAAGAAGAAGGATTAAAGTTAAGGAATAGAGTGACATTAGAAAGAAAAAAAGGATATCAGAAACTTATAGCGTTTTCTCTTGGCTGCACCAGTGTAGGGTGATTGCACCAGTTCATCTTTTTTCCTTTTCCCTTCTCCTGGAAAGAAAAGGAAGAAAGATGAACTAGTGCAAAAGTTCAGCTGAGTGTTGCACTGGTGCAGCCAAGAGAAAACGCTATTAGGCTTGAGCTAAGTATGAGAAAGGTAATGTAGGTGAAGTATAGGTTGAGACTAGTCAGAGAGTAAGGTAGTTAAAATAGTATAAGTTGAGCTGTAAGGAGCAATTAAAATAGTAGAAATAGATGGGAGATAAATTGGCTGTGAAATAAGAGTGTAAATAAAGGTTGTGATTTTCAAGAGATAGTTAAGTTAAATTACTTTATATCTTATAAAGCAATAGATTTTAAAACCTGACCTGTTGTATTACTTTTACGAGATCCTTCAGAATAGACCGCCTAGAACGATTGACAATAACTGCTGCTGCCAAGTAACGAAGTATATGTGGGCACATTGTTTGAATAGCATTTAAATAACTGCAAAAATATATTACACAAGTTATAATTTTGTAATTTTTGTAAATATTAACATTACATTATTAATGTGGTTTTTTTTTAAATGTACATAATTACAATACTTATACAAAGTATTTCTGTATGACAACCAAACATTATATTTCAATTTTCACTGTTCTTTGTTTTTCATGGTTTTATAATTAAATAAAAATTGATATTCTATAGATATCCTACAAATAAAAAAAATACAAAACATTTATTTAGTAGTTGTGAAACAACTACTAAATATAGTAGTATGTATAAATAACATTCATACATTTAGTAAATTTATACGTCTGAGGTATCCTGGACATCTCATGCAAATATATAAGATTTACTTTTTTAAAACAAATTATACATACTGTGGCCGATAGAGGAACATTTCAATAATGAGATCTCTTCCTTTAACATGATTAAAGAACACAAATAAACTCCAGTGAATGAGCCATGTGCGTTGCTGTAATACTTGTAACGAATTGCCGATAACATTACTGTCGATGTATTCTCGCAATTTATTCACATCCTCCAATGCCGTTTCCCAGTTTTGTACAAGAATCTCTGATGCCAATTTTCCCCATAAAACATTTAAATAGTTCTAGAAATTAAAATATTAAAATAGATAATGTCATAAAATATATTGCACTTGAGTTATATAATTTTATAAAAATTAGCACTATATACCTTATCGGTAGGGGGCATAATCAGCATATAGAAATATAAATATGATGTAGAAACAGAATAATTGCCACACTCATAGCGATATTTTGCCAACTTCACAAAGCTGTCCATCATTTCTACCCTAAACTATAACATGCAAGTTAAGACTAAATTAATACAAATTGTAGAAATTGAGTTGGAATACTTAAATAAAAAATTTCATTATCTAACATAGTAATAACTGTTCTACCTACATCTGATTCTTGAGTAAGATAATTATTAAGTGCTTTGGAATCACGCATATTTTCCATTTTCTTCATAATTTCTTCATTATTCATAAGAGCAAGCACTACTGAAACATTATTTTGCAGTACGCCAAGCTCTTGTAATACATCAGCACGTCTGGATTTTATCTCCTGCAACATCGCTATGTTAATATCTATCATTTTATCCTTAAATAAAATCATGAGTTTCTTTACTATAATTGTTTGTGTCTGGATTAATTTTTACAAATATACAAAAATTATTAAGTAATTTTTACATACATTTCAACATCTTTAGAAAGTATTTATAAAATTAATTAAAAAAAAGAATAAAGTTCATTATATATATATAGTCAAATGCACCTAATATTTAAAAAAAAACGTAGAACATACGAATATCCTATTATGTATACTAAGGAATAAATACAATCTAAATCTGTAACAGTAAATTGAAAAAAATACATAAGACACAAATAACCCATTGTGTATACTAAGAAATAAGCACAATCTGAATTTGTGACAGTAAACTGAATCCATAATAAGTTCTTTTCGCAACAGCGCAACAGTGACACACGTTACACAGTGAAACACACCTCTGGTACTTCCACATTGGGATAAAGCTGCTTCCTGATGTCAATGGTGTAGTCAATCATATTCGTCTTGCTGAGAATGTCGAGTTTCGCATGTAACAGCTCATCCTCATCGTAAATCTGTAATACAGCATATGCGACATAACCAAAACACGAGTGATGCAGCGACGTTACGACGCTCGGTTACCGCTCCATACCTGCTTCGCCGACAAGAACTCTAGCAGAGGAAACACCAAGTGGCGGTCCAAGTATTGACCTATGCGAGACGTTAAGTCGAATTTCGCCATTCCGGCGCCTTCAGTTTAACGTTAATTAACTCGTGAATGTCAAACCTCTATACCATTCACTCCGTACGCTCACTGAGATCGCGCCGAATGAAAGGGCATTTCGCTCGCGTGATCTCGCACAACGTGGCGCTGAAAGATGTGAAATCAGTCAGTTCACAAGCAATCGCTGCAAGTTTGCCTTT